GGGTGCCCCCCCCCCTCCCACCCCAAGAGATGATAGGGGGCCCACCACCTTGCAACTGAAGCACCACTTGTTTCGGTCGCTTTGACCGCTCCCCCCACCCCTTACTCGTTAATTCGAAGGATAGTCGATACTCTCGGGCATCATATTAATTATCCCATGTCGAACGCGACTCGAGTCGCTCTACTCTTCTCCTGTAATTAATACTTCGGGGCCTGAGACTTTCTGTAACGAGGCCGAGCGGATTCTTGACTGGATTACACTTCGTACAGGGGTGTGTGCTTCCGTTTGTCAGGTGATTCGTCTGACGCTGGGAGGGACTGATCTCAATCGAATGTGTGATGATTGAACCCCTGAAAGTATCAGTGGTGTATAGTCAATAAATAGGCTGATGATGGATGTTGAGTTTTGGAGAAGAATACTTGACCTTCAAAGACTTGATTTTATCATCGTACCCATTCGACCAAACGCGTTGACGTAACCCAAAGCTTTCTTTTGTGTATATCTTAAATGTATATCTAATTTGGTTATAAATCTTTTGATAAAACACCAGAGTCGTAACTTCCTGCTCTTTACTGTTTAGAAATGCCAGGTGTCTTTCGGACGAACTTGGTGACCGTAATCCAGTATGGTCTTTGAGGGTTAATCACCGACATTCAATTTATTAACAGGACTGTAGTCGCCACACAGGTGTTAATAATTCTAAGTCTATTACAATGTGGACACAATATATTCATATAGGACAATACGAGGAATCGTCTTACTCCCAAAAAGAAATCTGCATCTCCAATTAAATGCTACACAGCACACCAACAGTGGTTACATCGTCGAAGAGGATCACAGGTTTTGCATCCTACCCAAGAAACAACAAGTAATATTGAAACAAAAAATATATTTTCCAACAATTTAAGCACGGCTTCTTATTTTTGAACATCGGTTATTCTCATATTATAAATAATTTTCTCCAGAAAAGTTTGTAAAAGTCACTTACTTTTAAAGAATTTACACAAGAATTCCCCCATAAAGGGCATATTGATTAATATCTATGTGTTTGATACTACTCGATACCAGATCAACATTAATGGCCAGTTATCGATAGCATTGATGGGGTTTTAGCCCCGACGTGACTATCAGCCCAACATGTATGCACGGATCACGTTTAAAGCAAGGGTAACCTGTATCCTTAATGAGCAACGAAATAAAGACTTGTTCAAGGCATTGCAGTTCTCACACGAATCTTCGATTCCTCCCGTGAGAAAGTTCGTGGTCTTTATGAACTGTGAAAATCAGGATTTCACCGTTACAGAGTTGAGCCTGGCCGGGGAAGATGGGTGGAGTAGATAGAGTGGAAGGGCGGCATGTGGCGGGTGGTAGCGGTGAGTTCGAAACGCAGTCTCACACGGAACAGCATGTATACATACGTGGCTAACACAACCGCGTCTAGTCTTTTCGCCTCGCAGATAGCGAAGTCGATGGCAGTGGCCCAAAGAGAATTTCCTAGTAGCATAGGTCCTGTTCGCTTGGCAAGCAGGAGTCACTTCGAGTCACCTTTAGAAGTCACCTTTTGCCTTTCGTGATTCTCGATTTTCTTTCTGTTCCATCTATTTGCCTCCGTGCCTGCCCTTATAAATCTAGGCTATACGAGAGCCCCCGTGTATGTGCGTGCTTCCTTCGCAAAACTGCGAGACTATTGTGTATTTATTTTTATGGGCAACGGTGTAAGCAGGTGCTGTGTGTGCCCGCCTTCGTGTGGATGCTTCTGCGTAATGTAGCTCGAAAGTATCGAGACTCGGGGAACGTTTTGTTGGGTTCTGGGAACGATATTCGTTAAACTGCACGACTTTGTGCATTTAAATGATCGAACATGTAGCATCTTCAACACGTTGACTGCCACAGTGAAAATAGCCGTACGTAGCCGGACACGCTTTATTTCGTTTTTTTATGTCTTAAATAGTCAAAGATATAGGCTTTGAATTAGTAAAGGCAGTTGGTCTAAAAAATTTCGTAACGGTATTTAAATAATCCAGCCTATTGGTAATGTACGTTTCACTCGTATTTGGGTGATGTGGCAGTCAAAGTGTGGAAATAGACAAATGAAACTTTATCATTCAGTCAAGGAAGAATTGAAGAATAGCGGTTAGGTCTTTTCGGAATTGAGATATAAGAATTAAATTCTTACGAGATCGAAAATGGTATCACATTATAAAATCTTCTTGTAAGTTATTTGACTCTAAGCTGGATCCACACTATTCCTTAACTTTTGGAAAACAGAGCCTGATCAATTTTTATCTACATTAAGATGGGTTAGAAACGTATTTAAAAATCACTTCGGAGGTTCACAAAATTTCTATCTTCTCGATCAATCACGTGACATCAAAGCACTAAATTGTGGTTTCGTATACGTTACTGAAAAATCTGAACTGCCATGAACATATGCACTCTGCTTATCACGTTACACCAATCAAGACTAACATCTCAGAACCATATCTCTTGCAGTCTCGCGAGTGTGCAAGGAAACCAGAGAGTCAGATGAGTCCTGTGTACACTTGTCGTATAAAGTGTTTTTCGAAGTCTTTCATACTGTCCTGTCTACGTAGGTTCAGAGGATCCTTGGAGGGTTAGTAGTACAGGTGAGCGTGAAAGGTTCACGGACACAGGTGTAACGATATGGGTCGTTAGTAAAATCGCATTCGAACTCGAAAGTAGTGCTCTCACTGCTCGAGGAAATTCTTTCAAGAGTGGGGTCTTTTCAGAAGTAACGATCTTTCTCTTCTTTTTTTTTGCCATCCCCTCTGCCTCCAAGTCTTCATCCCAACTTCGCGATCCCTATCCACTTTTGCACCCCTTGGGCCGATATCCCGCGTGTAATCCGTAATAACGTTTGAGCGGTACACTTTGAGGGGCATTAGATGGTATAGAATCGGTAAATGTATCCTCGCAAATCGGCCTCGCGGTTCGTTGAACACATCTCGGTCAAATTTTCAAGAAGTACCGTCAAAAGCTTAAGTATTCCTTTAACGACTTATCAATGTTACTCTGTCATTGTTGACAGTGTGAATTGTATGAAATTCAGAAGTCTTATTTTTGTCATTGTTTGCTTATACCTTGTGCATTGTTCGGGTCCATTTGTACTCGACCTCAGAGACTTTGATTTTGTATTGTATTCTTTATCAGAAAATTTAAAATTAATTTGACATCAGTTTACATATACGTATAAGGATGAAGCGTATTTCTTTGTTAATTAGATATTAACGAAAAACCCCGACCAATCGGAGCTCGGCCGGCAGACTCACGCTCTGATTGGTCAGGGTTTTTCGTGAATCCCTTGCCTTACGATTTTCTTGACGACTGCAGACTCCAGGATTACATTGTTGTCGATAGTTTCCCAGAAACGAAAAGAATTCTGTACTTATCACAACTGTTTTTTTAACTGTAAACGTTCAACATTAATGCCAGCAACGTCGCATTTCACTTGGACTCAAAGAAAACCGAATAATATTCTTCTTGGTTGAATCTATTTTGAAATCGTCAACACGAGTCTGACTCGATGTTATAGGGCAAGGGGTTAATATCTCGTAAACAAAGCCTCGGATAACATTTTTGCTAAGGAAAATGTTATTTCAAATCATCCTAAGAACCCCTTATTTCCAGGAGTCGAAGCTATTTCGGGACACCCTGTACAGATAATACAGTGGACAAGCTCAACCAAGCCCTGCACTCTGTTCCCAGAACCTCGCCCTGTGTTTGTGCCAGTGATAATAAAAATATAAAAAGAAAAGTGACTGGAAATAAGAAGAACACCTTAGCCCCTGGGGTTCTCTGCATCCGTAGCCACGGTTCATGGAATAATGCTATTCACGAACGGTGGGAGGGGAAAGGGAAAACGCGATCGCGAATTTCAGGATGGATGGGTCGTCCCGGTCGGATGGGGGCGAGTACCTCGAAATCCTCCTGTGGATTCGATCAGCTCCCACAAGGAGAACGGTCTGTTACTTCTCAGGCCGCTGCCGCCGTGACGAGATGTACCAGCGGCAGACTTGAAAAATTGCATTTTGTATTCAATAACTAGGCTGTCAGGCCGAACGGCGAGCTCCTATAACTCAAAGCGCATCCACGGGTCCGCGTAGACACGTCGTTTCTCGATCGATCGATCGATTTCTCTTCCCTTCGATGCACGACAAGGACCTTCTCGATGGGGGAAATACGAACGGCAGCACCTCGGATGAACCGTGACGTAGTGATTTGAAAAAGAGGGAAAGAAACCTGGGGGTGGTATCGAAGATCGTTGTATTCTGTTTCTGCGGCGACGACGACTGGCGTGTGTTTCTGTTGGGAACTGACAACCAGCGACAGGCCTCCACGATCGACTGTGTCTTTGCTTGTGAACACTGTTGTCGATTTTATTATACGGTATAGAAACTAATGCGGTTGTCCCTGTTTGTTGAACCGGAGATTTCACTTGCTCAACGTTGTCTCGATGGAAATTGTCTTGAACGGTCCTTCGAGGGCGCTGCGAGGAAGTTTCTTTTGCATTCGGAGGATCTACGATCGTGTAGAGTACGGCAGAATGAAAGGTTTACGATGTTGACAACATAATGTTCGCAGACTTCAGAATTAAGTGAAATACGTGCATTAAAAATTGATAACTAAACTATGCATTTTATGTATGTGTGTTGCGTCGGTTATATAATTATACGACGGAACAATGTGTTTGTAGGAAATGTTAACCCTCAGACACCACACTAGTGTGAATTAATATTCTATCTGGTCGGCATAACGGTTTCCTTCCATTACGATACAAAATTATTCCTTTTTTCTTTAATTAGTACCATTGAATTTCTAGGGAAACTTTACCCTAAAAAATATGTTCTGAGTTCAATTTGCTCCTATTGTCGTCAAGTTGTTAATCGTCAAAAATTCAAAATCTTAGTTCGCATTAGTGTGGTGTTTATGTATGCTGCAGTGGGATGCGGTTTTAAAGGTTTGCGGTTAAAAAATAAAGAATGTTCGAAAATGTAATGACACTTGTATATTATCATCAACATAACAAGACATCTAGTATAGGAAATAAATTTTTAGTCAATTTTCATGTTTATAAAATAATATCGAAAATTGTAAATTCGATGACTCTTGTAATTTGGTCAATATTATTAAATATCGTAATTACGATTCAGTGACTGTCAGGTAGATAAAAGTAGTGTCTTACTATTACTATAGAATATTTTACTATTATACACTTTGTACAGTAAATGCTGCAGTTGGACGCCATGGTTGAGACCTGAAAAATTCGTCCGGTCGGTTAAAGTGTTCATGAGATTCTGTAAAGTCGTTGTTTCACTTTTAACTTAATAATATCCGAGATAGAAAGAATATAGTTGTAAATTGATTTATTATTTATACCTGTTTTGCGTCAATAGCATACATACATCACGATCTCATTTTTTGTTTGTATATTCAGCGTCAAAGGAATGTTGTTTTGTATTAATCGTTATTGTATTGTCTGTTTCAGTCGCTACGATCCCCGAACCTGAGTTCGTCGATCCAATCGGAAATATTACAGTGTCAGCAGGACGTAATGTTAAGTTAGCCTGCAGTGTCAAGGATTTGGGACAGTTTAAGGTAAGTCTATTAATTTACCAACATTTGTAGTTAAAAGTTACCATTTTTTGTTAATTCATGAATTTAATATCTAATTTTATTTGCGAAATCTAATTGAGCGTCTACCTTACTGTAATTCACCTCTTTGACCACGTAGGAATTTCAATTAATTTATCTATCTGGATATCATCTTGATTCTACATGTTCGATGAACAAATATAAATTTTCTTCGATTTAGACGGACACAATTTCGATCGATACAGTTCGATTTGGACAGAAATTCTATTCCACTTGCCTGGCTAGAGTAGTATGATGTCTGACATATAACGATCCTATTCTACTTTCTGAATTGGGTCGGTTTTATTTCTATTTTCTTCAATTACTTAAGGTCTAATGAATTTATACACTCCCTAATCTGGTACGATTATAATCCAATAATATTGTATATTTCTTAATCTAACTGATTGAATCAGATTAGCTAATCTATTAAGAATCTAAATTAAATTATTTAAGACGTAATATCTGCCATATACGTTAACTCTTTAACTATTCAACTCCTGGGTTAGGTTTATTCACCTATTTGCCCAGTATGACTTGTTACCTAAGAGCAGTTCTGTCCTTTAGCTACTGAAATATGACTTCTTAACACTCACCCATGTAATTACGAAATCTGTTTTCATCTTCACGATATTTCGTCATTTCCTGAGAGATTGCATTTTCTTAGCAAAGTTACGTGTCAGCGAGAGTTCTTAAAGATTTAACGTTACCGGAAATATCATACAAGAGTAATGCAAGAGTAACGCAGTGTCCCCGTAGTTCGCCGTGAGCTCAGTCGTGTTCCTCAGATTGCTTCGAGAGATCTAAGTTTCGAGTCGTGGGACGTGTCAGACCGACGCATCGCGATGTATGCTAAGTAAGTGGCAGGAGGCACCCCGGAAGTTCTCTGGTGGTTTCGTCCTGATTACGCGGCGTCGTTAGATCACGAGATCGAGCTCAAATCGTGCGATGCTTTGATGAATGCGATTCGTCAATACAGGAGCTTGTTAGATCCGTAGTTTGGGTAAAAATGCCGGAAAGTCTAAAAAGATAAATGAATTGTTCCTTTTCCTGTGCTCTCTATTTTACGTAAGAAATTTGTTAGTAATTCCATGAATCTTTTATTGTATAGGTACATTATATATAAATGAATAATTCTGTAACAAGAAAATTCTTGACGATCAATATTTATTTTATAGAAAACAATTATTACAGCATATATAATATGTCCATTGAAATGATCTCTTGTCCTGGTTTACACAAATATTCCTATAACCAGTTATTTACAAATTATTATTATAGCGGAATTATATAATACGTATAGAAAGCACTAAAGCATTTTGGCCCCATTCAAACTGTAATTCAACCAATTCCATCGACATACACAATCCTCGTTTAGAGTGAAATTCATACCCTGAACACGATTAAATGCATCCAATAATATTCTTGCAATTAAAATCGTAATGACGAAATTAATGAAGTTACATCCGTCGAGGTATTAAATCCAAAGAGTTATTACACAGAATAAGAATGATTGAAATTGAAGGAAGATTACATTACAGTAACTAGAAAATCATATAAACCATTTTTAATGAAGTCATTAAGACATAATATTTGGAGAATAATGTCACTAAATTCTATCAGCCAGTAAATACTCAGAAAGAATAAATTAATAGTACAATGGGCCCCTATATAACACAGATTCGTCAATCTGTTATACCTGAATAAAATCATTTCTGTTATAAAATCATGCTATACCTGATAAAAATATTTTCGATCGGACTGCAGATAACAGAGCAATCTCTACTGATCACGATTCGTGGTTCACCCTGTATAACTCGTATAACATGAAACAGATACCTGTGTAACAAAAGCACCTACAGTATTCAGAAACTAGTATCACGAAATTTCGATCATGTATTAAATACTCATAAAGAACAAATGAACATTATTTGTTAAAAAGATACACAGTAAAGCATCGAATATTAAAGTATAGGAAGCTATGGAAAACATTTCTATGGCGCCAGAAAGTACATAATGAACGGAGTTACATTTCGTCCCGGTGCATCAAAGAGCAACAAGCTCGTTACGCTCACGAGGCGAGGGAACATAATTAAATGACGGGAAGTAAAATAACCCGGGAAAGCGGAAGTGCTATCTTATCGGACGAGTGGTGAGCGTAACTGTTAAAGAACTCGACGGGACCAAGTCGTTAGAGAGGCCCGTGGCCCCGAAACCGGGGCGAAGAAACATACTCGAAGGACTCTCCGCAGTGGCTAGAACAAGGCGACGGAAGAGGAAAGTTCGTCGCGGCCACCTGAAATTTTACATCCGCAGCAGGGAGGAAGATTGAATTGGCATCTCCTGGATGGTCGCCAACTCGTACATCGCGCTCGGGTCGCCGTGTCGTCGTCTTCTTGGCGTTTCCCGAATCTCAAATTGAGAATCCAGTCGCCTCCGTCGACGAGATCTTTCGATGCGTTTACGATGCGCTCGCTTTTCCATCGTTCCCCCGAAACTGCCCTATGAATCTTCGACACTTTAATTTCGCTCGACAATAGAGATGCATTAGGAGGAAATATCACGTAACTGGTGGTACAACACTTGGGTCTGTGGTGTTTCTGGATGAAAAAATAAAAGTCGAAAATATAGAATACAATTTTTCCATTTGCGATCACGTTTTCGAGAAAGTCGACTTTGACAGTCTGGCGAATACGCGTGTAATTGAATAGGACTTGGCTGGCGCGTCTGTTCATTGCATTCCGTTCCTACTTACTACCATGATGAATATACTCGTTTCAGATTATCAAGGGTGGTGCTGGCATTGACAAAATGTACCCCAAATTGTACCAAAAAAGGTGATTCTTAATCTGTATGAATGCAGCTATCTATGATAGTAAATTCATTAAGAGGAATAAAAAATTGATAAAACTTCCTTGAAGAAAAAGAATCAAATATCGCCCAAAAAACAGGAACCGTTTCTTTAAATACAAAAAAACGGTAATAGACACGACAATAAATGTCCTTACTATAGATAAGGTAAATGTCCCAGTAGTTGCACGTTATCTTATATTTAATCTGTCGAACAGTTTTTGTGCAAAAAATTCGCAAAATGTCACCAACTTTACGGTCCCACAAGGTGGAATTCCTCTAACACGTTGACTTCCACAGTGAAAAAGGCAGTCCGTAGACACACTTTATTTCATTTTTTAAGTCATAAATCGTCAAAAATATATGCGTTTAATTAATCGAGGCTATTGGTCTTGTTTTGAATTAAACTGCAATATTAGTTTCACGTAAACATTTTCTAACGACATGTAAATAATCCAACCTCTTTGCAACGTATTTGGGGCGTACCCATCACCCACATTTCGGTGACGTGTCAGTCAAAGTGTTACCCTTTGGACTCTTTTTCGCTATAGGGCAGAAACAACTCCAAATTGATTTGCGTCGAACGGTACAGAGCCATTTAAAACTAATAAAGAAATAAATCATTCATATATTAACAAATACAACTGCTTTATTTAAATGTTGAATCTATTTTTACATTATATAAAAAGCTTAACCCTGTTAGTACCCCAAAGCCGAAATACAAATTATAAATGCTAATACAGAAAGTGACAAAAGTAAAATGCTTCCAACATTTCTCTATATAAAACAAAATGCATTTCACAATAAAATACAAAAAAATTGTAAAGTTATCTTTATTTTTAGAAAAAATGTTACTTCTAATAAGTATCCTAAAAAATGCACATTTTCCTTGATGGTACACAGCAAAATTGTAAGGTACTAAGAGGGTTAATATTGATTGTATGTAAAATATAGGAATCGATTACAGACACATATTTCTAATCCCCAGAAAAACACTAGTGTTGCATCTCGGTCGCCACGCGTATCGCTACACGAAATCGAATGGCGAGTGAGAGTCGACTTTCGAGTGGAAATGGTTGAAGAAACGAAAACATGATTCGGTCGAAATATACCCAAAGGCCGTAGCAGGGTTAAACGCCTCCATCCCTCGATCGTCGTACCGTAAACCATAAGGGCTCCATAAAGACGACGGTTTGTCAACGATCAACGCGTCAAGTGATTCCACTATATCGAGGTCTGCGGAGCCGTCTTTAGCTCGGTCGGCCCTTCTTACAAGTCGTAGATCGGCCCCCTAGTGGCCTTTAGTGCTCGACGGAAGGGCCGTTTGGGGGTGGGAGATCGTCACCGCTAAACACGCACTTAAACTGCTCGGCTCGCACCCTTCGGCCGAGATCAACGTTATTACCCTACGATCATCCGGTTTACCACTCACCGCATCCGGGATCACACGAATACCGAAAGGGAAGTAATTGCCGTCGCCCGTTCACCACGGCATCGTTACCAACGCGCGCGTACGGCCCCTATATTCTCGGAATATTGTGTCCGGTTTATTCGTCGTTACCTGCTTCCCTCCCCCCCTTTACCTTCCACCTCACCTGGAATTACATTGCCGGGAATTTTCGATCGGGGTAGGGACGTCGAACGCGAGCGATTTTGTAATCGTAACCGTGGATATCTCCCCTTTGACCGCTGTAATGTCGAATTTTTCTCTTTTCGCCGGTGAACGCTTTATTAATTTTTAAATTGTCACTCTGCCGCGGTGGTGGTCGCGATGATGCGACGCATTTATATTCCAGAAGATACAATTTCATCGTGATCCCCTTTTTCTCTTTATCTCCCTTTTAATATTTTCATGATCGTGTTTCATAGAGGCACAGCACTTTCGCGTGTCGTGCACGTGTGTATTCAATGTATCGCGGGGAATTGGTTTTTCACCGTTTTGACGGCTTTATTTATTTCCTATTCGGGGCTATGATATTTGTGTGTTTTTTTTTTATTAAATGAGGGAGTACGTTGATAATGTACACTTTTCGTTAATGTTTGAATTGTACGGTGGTTGTTGGAAGGAATTGCTTTGCTAGTGTGTTGGTTTGTGTTGTTGGAAGGGACGAATG